AGCGAGGTGGCGGAGAAATCGACTATCTCGCTGATCTCAGGCACCACATCGCGGTCGCGTGCCAGAATCTCTCGATGGCGCTCGTCCAGAAGGCTGTGGCGGAGTGTCATGATAGTATTTGATATGCTCTTTAATATGGTGGTAAAAATGTCCGATCAGAATTTAATAAAGTGTAACTTATAGCGCCTCGAAAGTCAATGAAGAAAAGTGACTTTTTTTGCCCCCCCCCCCTTGTAGACAGCGGTAGAGAGGACAAAGACGTTTATTAGGAAGCTGAAGTGAATTGAACTACACCGCTCGAAATGACCGGTCTATGTACTGACTCGAGTAATGGTTATTTTGAACAAAAGTTGTACTCGCGGTAGTTCTTAGACCGCTCCGAAATCTAACAAATCCTTGAAATTACTAAGAACCTGAAACGAACCCTCACTGGAGCCAGCCAAGCGTAGGATGCTTTCTGACGAAGAGTGAGAAGAGTAGCCCGACATGAGGTGTCCTCCCACCTCTAAATCGTTCGCACAATACTGTCTTAAATGGTGCTTGTTTAGTTAAGCTGTGCACATAAATTAGATTGAATCATGATATATTGGTAGGTACTGACGTCCAAACGATCATTCACTTATTCCCAGTAAAACCAAGTCGCTGATTTTCAGCCGCTGAACAACTTGTCATTTCATAGGCGAGGAAGAGATTGATTGCACATGTGTTCATTGTAAATTCTGCGTCTAGGCGAGCTGTTCCATTACGTGCTTCTGTGATCATTTCGCTACCAAATTGCTATTCAAACGATTTGAATACCTCTGCATCCATTCGGAAAGAAAACTTATGACAATATTTGCGCGCTTTGGCTTTTTTCTTTAACACCGTTCAAATAAATAAAGTTACTGTAAACTAATGCATTCGTCATACCAATAATCAAGGGGGGTTATGGTGATCTACTTACTGCTCAAATTTTTCATATTCGACAGTGCCTTAATATTCTTGTGATATTTCAAACTCTGATTTTACTTATATTGCTTTGCATTGCAGAGTTGTATCATACAGTGTCGTTCAATTTTGAGGTATCGTGTGCTTCAGGACGAACAATCAAAAATGCTCAGCCGCGGACCTCATCCGGTTCGCATAGTTGAAGTAGTTGAGGACGTTGATCACTCGTTCGAGCTCAATGTTGCAGCACTCGAAAGTATTCTACTCGACCCATTGGTGGCAGACAAAAAGGTAAGACTTGCAGATTTAAATCATTCTAAATCAGCTAGTGTTTCACCCTCTATCACCATTTTGTGTCTTTTGGAAGATCGGGTTTTCTTTTTCGTGTGCTTCCTTTTCCGCTATCCGTCGCTCAGTTTTACTTTAACATTTCGCCTTTTTTCCCCAGCGATGTTGCGCTAAACGTGAACTAACCAAGATTTGCTTATTGTTGTTTGCATTATAGTTTTAAAGCTTATGTATTGCATGAGTTTCTAAATGAGCGTTTTTGTTATATAATATGAAAAGCAATCCCATATTTTGGATCAAATCATAGGATTTGAGTTTCATTGTGAATGAAGTGTCTTTTAGTTTTATGTGACGAATCGGTTGCGAATCCTCCTTCCCTGTGTGCTATATACCCCGTGACATGCCTAGAAAAAGACCAGTTGCCCGCCTTCGCCGCACCGAGGCGTTCACCTGCATTGTTCAGAACTTGCTGTGCTGAAAGATTTAGTAGATTTGCAATCGCCTTTTTGTGTGATTTTAGAACCAAGTTATGAATTTTCAAAGCGATCACTACCCCAGTCAGTCGCATCTCACTTCACCACTGGTGTTTCACTCTTATTTTATTTCCCGTTCCGTCGCGCCATTACTTAACAGTCCCTTGACTATTCTGTAGGCGTTTCAGGAATTTTTTTCTTGACATCGCCCACCTAAGTGCACGTTCCGCCCATTGCGGGCAGAGTTTAGCCCAGCTTACAAGTTCTGCGTGCATTCTGACCTATGCCGCATCCATATTAAACTTGGCCCGCTCTCTAGATCTATCAAGTAACTCCCATTCTGCGAGCGGTCAGACAAAGGCACCGAGAATCTCTGGTTCACATATAAAGGGGTGACACAACTACCCGTCGGTCTACAATAGCAGATGCGACACTTCTCAACAGCATTGAGCACAGAATACAATAAAGTACCGAGAGCGAGAGACCATCAACAACTGACCATGTAAATAACTTATCAAGGAGGCGCAGGTTTGCGGGGCTCCCGAATTCCACCCGCGTCCCTTTGCCAAATTATTACCTGGTCAGTTGTCAGTAATATCTTGCTTTGTTCTCCCGGAGGTGGGATTACGACTCAGTACGTTGCGTTACAAGAATACCTTAGCATGGCTGCGTCACATCTCGAATTTTTGTGCACGGTCTTGCTGCGAAATCAAGAAACGCAGACAGACAGCGCCTGCCAAAGGCGTGCAAGAAACTATGGCGGGCTAGGAAACGAGGCTTTTCAAGAGGGAGGAGGACTCCGGGGTGGGTGAGCCACTTATCATACGTGAAAAGCTGGAATGTGCGAAGTCACAATGACCATAGAGTGCCACGCGGATGAGAGAGAGAGCAGAGAAAAACACAAATTCGACGCGTTTAAAGGAATTGAGTTCAGGTTGTCCATAGACCCCCAGCATAAAAAGAGCACACAACATTATTGTCTTATTTTATTCGGTCTGTGAATTCTACGCTGTATTTATAGGTGGCCGTTATTGGTGTTGCTGGAGCATATAGAATGGGAAAATCATTTTTGCTGAATTTCTTCTTGCGGTACCTGCAGTGGCGTGCAGATGGGTCTGGTTAGTCGTTTTTTATTCAGTTTTTTGAAACACAGTAGTTGTGGAAAGTGTCGATTCTGTACAGAGTGGCTGGAAGTATGGGCGCGTGAAGAAGTTCACTTCTAAAAGGCATACTTTTGAAGTGTTTGTTGAACCACATGTTAGGGAAACAATGCTTTCCTCCTCCGAACGCACAAGTTAGGAATGGAAAGGGCCGACATTGTCGGTAAGTCCGGCTACGGGTATGGTACGGTACGACTGTGCCGTGGTCGGAGCGGTTCTCCAACCACCGTGACCACCAGAGAATAAGATGCACTGCCAATTCGTCGCAACCCGCTTGCGTCCGACAAAATTCTTGGAATCGACCGAGAGTTTGGGGGAAATTTCTTGAAAAAAAGTAATAGTTGCTGTTATGTTATCTTAAAGGCAGTTGGCACGATAAATCCCCCAAGACGACTAGGATCAATACTCCTGGCAGGATAGAATTCCGCGACCCTGGGCAGGCGCTGCATAGCGGTTTCCCCGAGGAAGGTGCCCTTATAAGGGCCCTATCAAGCCACAACTTTACGTCCCAAACGCCCGCCACGCCCGCCCGCCCACAAATGGACGACCGTTCCTGACGCTCGTATTCATTCATTTGCTAAGCAAATTATGAAGCGAAGGGATTGGTATGAAGCGGCCGTGATGCTGCATGCA